AATTGCCAGTAGCACATTTTGTACTAGAAAGTCCATTGTGCCCAGAACAGAAAATGACTGTGGATCACCCAGTAATGTGCATTCTGCTTTTGGGGACAATCGGACTCCATTCCCCCAAAATCCACGTTACATTTGCATAAATCACTTTTGAAATGCTGCTTTTCATTCTCTCTAGCCCACAGCTGCTGTACAGGGAATTGGTGTGGTTCACACCCGGCTTCAGATTTTCCCCTACATAATCCCCAAAGTAGAGAAGTTTTGCACACAGTGAAGCAAGGCGACATGATGTTAAACAGGGACAGACTTTCTGTCCTATGCTTAGTGTGAGCTACCAGAAAGCAACCAGAGAAAGAAAGAGGCAATTATCCCAGCTGGGAATGGAAAAAAGAAGTAAGAATTGAATTTGGGTTACAAATGGTTGAGGAAAACGACCTCTGCCTCTATTCATAGTGAAGCAGGAAATCAATGTAAAGCAGACCTTAAAGTTAAAATGCAATCTTTTTTTTTCTTTTAGTTAGAGACAGGGTCTCACTCTGCCACACAGGCTGGAGTGCAGTTGTGCAATGATACCTGCAGCCTCCAACTTCTGGGCTCAAGCGATTCTCCCACCTTAGCCTCCCAAGTAGCTGAGACCACAGGTGTGTGCCACCATACCTGGCTAATTTTTTTTTTTTTCCAAAGATGAGGTCTCACTATGTTGCGCAGGCTTGTCTTAAACTCCTGGCGTCAAGCAATCCTCCTGCCTTGGCTTCCCAAAACACTGGGGTTACAAGCAGGAGCCACTGTGCTTGGCCTCAGATGTAATTTTTACTGTTAGAAAAACTTCATACTAACATGATCCATTTCACAACAGGTACCAACTATAATCAACACAGTCCAAGACCCATGCTTTAGGTTTACTAGCTTGTTTGCCTTTCTTTAGTTACCATCAGCAAATTAGATAAGTATGTAGAAATTATCATCATGAACCAGAAGACTCAATGATATGTGTCAGAACAATTAAATGTGTGGTCCTTGGGCAAGTAGCAGCGGCACAAACTGGGAGCTTGTTAGAAATGCATATTCTCAGGTCCCACCCTAGAGCAAGAGGACCCGAATAATAAGGTGGGGTTCAGGTGTCAGTGTTTCGCAAGTTCTCCAGGTGAGGCTGGCACACACTCAAGTCCAAGCACCACTGGCTTGAGTTGTTAGGGCCTTACACACTACAAAACCTCCAATGTTCTCAGCTGTAGAACTAAATAACTATTTGTGAGTTACTGTGTAGACAAATTAGTTAGACACACATATATCTCTTTCTATTGCACTTCACAGATATTGCATTTTTTACAAATTGAAGGTTTCTGGCAACCCTACATTAAGCAAGTCTATTGGCACCATTTTTCCAAGAGCATGTGCTCACTTTGTGTCTCTATATCACATTTTGGAAATTCTCATAGCATTTCAATTCAAACTGTTTCATTACTATTATATCTGTTACAGTGATCTTTGATCAGTGATCTCTGATGTTATTATTATAATTATGTTGTGGTACCATGAACTGCACCAATAGGAGATGGTAAACTTAATTCCTAATGTTGTATGTGTGTGTTCTGATTGCTCCACAGATCAACCATTCCCCATCTCCCCTCCTCTCTTCAGCCCTCCATATTTCCTGAGACACAACAATATGTTGAAGTTAGGACAATTACTAATTCTACAATGGCGTCTAAGTGTTCACGTGAAGGGGAGAATCACACACCTCTTACTTCAAATCAAAAGCTAGCAATGATTAAGCTCAAGTTTAGTGAGGAAGGCATGTTGAAAGCTGAGACAGAACAAAAGCTGGGCCTCTTGGACCAGTTCACCAAGTTGGGAATGCAAAGAAAAAGTTTTTGAAAGAAATTAAAAGTGCTACTCCAGGGAACATAGGAATGATAAGAAAGTGAAACAGCCGTAGTACTGATATGGAGGAAGTTTGAGTGGCCTGGATAGAAGGTCAAACCAGCCACAACGTTCCCTTAAACCAAAGCTAATCCAGAGTGGGGGCCTAATTTTTCACTTCTATGAATGCTGACAGGTGAGGAAGCTGCAGAAGAAAAGTTGGAAGCTAGCAGGATTTGGTTCGTGAGATTTAAGGAAAGAAGCCATCGTCCTAACATAAAAGTGCAATGTGCTGCAACAAGTGCTGATGGAGAGGCCGCAGCAAGTTGTCCAGAAGACCTAGGGTAACATCACTAATGATGGTGGCTGCACTAAACAACAGATTTTCAATGTAAATGAAACAGCCTTCTATTGGGAGGAGTTGCCATCTACACTTGCATAGCTACAGAAAAGTCAGTGTCGGGCCTCAAAGCTTCAAAGGACAGACTGACTCTCCTGTTAGGGTCTAATGCAGCTGGTGACTTTAAATTGAAGCCAACACTCAGTTGCCATCCCCAAATCCTAGGAATCTTAAGAATGACACTAAATCTACTCTGCCTGTGCTCTAGAAATAGAACAACAAAGCCTGGATGACAGCACATCTGTTTACAGCATGGTTTACTGAATATGTTAAGCCCATGGTTGAAATCTGCTGCTTAAAAAAAAGATTCCTTTCAAAATATTATTGCTAATTGACAATGCACCTGGTCATGAAAGAGTTATGATGGAGATGTACGAGGAGATTAACGTTGTTCTCATGCCTGCTACCACAACATCCATTCTGCAGCCCATGGATCAAGGAGCCATTTTGACTTTCAAGTCTTATTATTTAAGAGATCCATTTCATAAGGCTATAGATGCCATAGATAGTGATTCCTCTGATGGATCTAGGCAAAGTAAATTGAAAACCTTCTGGAAAAGATTCGCCATTCTAAATATCAGTAAGAACATTCGTGATTCATGGGAGGAAGTCAAAATACCAACATTAACAGGAGTTTGGAAGATGTTGATTCCAAACTTCATGGATGAATTTGAGGGATTCAAGACTTTAGTGAAGGAAGTAACTATAGATATGGTAGAAACAGCAAGAGAACTAGAATTAGAAGTATGGCCTAAAGGTGGGACTGAATTGCTGCAACCTCATGAGCAAACCTGAATGGATGAGAAGTTGCTTCTTATGGATGAGCAAAGGAAGTGGTTTCTCGAGATGTACTCTACTTCTGATAAAGATGCTGTGAACATTGTAGAAATGACAACAAAGAATACAGACTATTACTTTAACTTAGGTGATAAAGCAGTGGCAAGATTTGAGAGGATTGACTCCAATTTTAAAAGAAGTTCTACTGGGGGTAAAACGCTGTCAAATAACATCACATGTTACAGAAAAATCTTTCATGAAAAGACAGTCCACTGAAGCAGTGACTTATTTTAAGAAAATAATTGTTGTCTTATTTTAAGAAACTGCCACAGCCACCCTAGCCTCCTGCAACCATCACCCTGGTGAGTCAGCACCCATTGACGTAAAAGCAAGGCCCTCCACCAGTAAAAAAAAGTAATGACTTGCTGAAGGCTCAGATGATCATGAGCATTTTTAGCAATAAATTATTTTTAATTAAGTTAATTACATTGTATTTTTATACATAATGCAATTGCACACTTAATAGACTATAGTATAATGTAAACATAACTTTTATATACAGTGGCAAACCAGAAACTTCGTATGACTCACTTTGTTGTGCTATTCACTTTACTGTGGTGGTCTGAAACTGAATCTGCAATATGTCCAAGGTACTGTGTTTTATTTCCAGTACCATATATGATCCATCTAGATCCCAAAAATACAGACCACATTAGCCAAAATCCTATTTAATATGCATTAACTTTATAAGTCATAATTTACTGAATCCTTGAGGCAGACACAAAACAGAGGAAATATTAAAGAGAAAGGTAGAAGAAAGTATTTAGGAAATTATGCTGCCATTAAATATATTGTTTGAAATGAAAATATAAAAATATAAACAAAAACATTACAGTATTAAAATTCATAGTATAGAATGATATATTCAGTGTAATCACAACCTTAGAATGCAGATGTTTAAAAAATTCAAAGATTGGAAAGAGATTCACTAAAATGTTGGCAGTCGATATCTTTAGGTGATGGAGATAATAAATGATTTTGTTCATCTAGAACTTGCTGATGCAAAGATAAAGGTCATCAGTGTTCATGGTCAAGTTTTTACTCTGGTTGACATACTCCAGAAATGAAGTAAAGCTGAGTCACTCCTGGATTTGCTATTAACAAACAGACACAGTGCTATCATTTTACTAGACTATCCTGTGAAGCATATTACATATATTAGGAAATGATCTTAACAGGTGAGAAATATTCTGAAAATATATACGTAGAGTGCAAGGAATCATATATGTGCCCAAACTAAAAGGGAAGTTCAGGATTGAGACACTCATACAATACAATCATCCCTTCCTGTTTTCTGTTCTAGGTATCCTCCACCATCTAAGAGTGACAGACGGTTCAGGAGATCTTAGGGACCCAATTCTTAAACCAAATGATTTCCTGACCAGTTCTCTAGCTATAGATGTGCCTCTGCTTAAAATTGTCCCAGTTGCTTCAAGTTTTGAGATCCCAGAAAAGCAGATATCAAACAGATATTCAGATATAGAAAATGTTGTTCCCCCAAATGCTGACTTAACCTTGCAAATGTCCTTTGGCTGCCCTAAACAAGACCCATAAAGAATACTTCATAAAAACAATGACAGTGCTTTCACATGACAGCGGGGGCTTACGGTTGTAAATAACAGGAAGCACCAAGGGGTCACTAATGAGAAGAGCCTGTGCTTTACACTCAGGCAGGACGAGGCTGAGGTCCAGGTTCTGTTACTCTGGGTCCAGTCCTGACCATGTTTAATCCATCAGAGAGTAATTAAGGGAGAAAAAATACAAACAGTAAAGAAATAACAAAAGTAAAATCAGCTACAGCAAAATGAAGAGTTGCGAATAATTTCTGTCTTATTCCATTCAGGCTGCTCTAACAAAACACCATAGACTGGTGGCTTATGAACAACAGACATTTATCACTCACAGTTCTGGAGGCTGGAACCCTACGATCAAGGCACCAGCAGACACTGTGTCTGGTGAGGACTCACTTCCTGGTTCATAGATGCGTAGTGGGGCCATAGCGCATTCTCGCTGCGTCCTCACATGGTGGAAGAGCAAGGGAGCTCTCTGGGTACTAATCCGGTTCACAAAGCTCCACCCTCATGACCTCAGCAGCCCCCAAAGGCCCCACCTCCTGACACCATCACCTTGGGGGTTAGATTTAAACATGAATTTTGGAGAGGCATATGTTCAGTGTCTAGCAATGTCCAGTCCATGGAGAAAGAGTAATGCAGAGAAAGAATGATCCATGGGAGTTTGAGAAGTAAAGAAATAACCAGCACCAAGTTCATGATGCAAGAAGCGCCAGGCGGAACACAGAGCATGGAACACTGTGCTCCGGGCAGGCAGCAGAGCTCCCTGTGAAGTTATTCTGTTCTTTGAAGATTTCTCACTCAGGTTAACACCTAGACTTCACACTTAGGTGTGAAAGGCACTTTTAAAGACATTCATCTCCACACTTTCACCTTCTTCCTTTGGAAGAGAAAGAAGAAAAAAGAAAAAGATGTTTGCATTCTAAAAGATACTTTGTCACCGCCTTAAAAAATAAAGGGCTGCTCCAAAGTAGTAATATTTTTTCATTTATGGAGCAGGTGCTATATGCCCCAAACCCTGTGGAGTGCTTTTGTTTATGAGCTCATTTAAGTCTTGCGGCAGGGGCTCTCTGCTTCTCTTTATGGATGAGATGGAGAAGCGAGCATATACACAGGTGAGGTCTTTTCTAAGATGTCAGTCATATCTGGCTGAATTATCTGATGCCTGAGCCCATTTCTGTATCTGTCCCACACCATGGGTCCCCACTCTAGCCGACTTCATCAATATTCTGGACGATGCAAACAGCATCCCAGGACTGCCCTTGCTGCGTGGCTGCTTCTTTCCTTTAATCAAAGGTGCTGGGGACCCAAACCTGAAATTGCAAGGAAAGGAAACAGTAAAAGCAATAACTACCTCATCTCTTAGCTCTGGTAAATCATCTATTTCTCTCATCCGTAGTCACAAATGCACACTCCATGGTTTTAGCAAATATTGGACTCTCGGTAAAAAACAAATGCCCAAACAATGCATGTTAATTAACACAGGTGCTGATTGCTTTGTCATTCAAGAAAGGGGATTCGCTTCTTTTAATCAGTGTGATGAGAATCACAAAGACTAAATGCAGTTTGCTGAGGCTCTCAGCTGTCTTGAAGGATTACATAATTCCCCTACAAAGTGAGAATGCTAGAATGTCAGAATCATGCTGGGGGCTTTAAAACATCTTGGTGCACAAGATGTTTGGGCACACCCCAAACCATAAGATCACAATGTCTAGTCAGGCAAGGAGGGGGAGCCAGGCTCCCCCAGATTTTTCTGGTCTGTCATCACCAAGAAACTGGGGGAGTATTGAAATAACGTGAGGTAATAAGTGTAAAAGAGCTGATGAATTTTCAGGTGATTTTCATTTACACTGAGGAAATGTAGTAAAGTTAGGAGGAAAAAAAATCAATGATCTCTATGTCCTAATTATAATGAAAATTTTAAAATTTGAATATAATATTATACACACGTAGTACTCAGGGAAAAAAGAAGCGGCTTCGTCCAATTATGATGCCTCTTCTCTTCCATTCTGTTTTGGTTCTGGGCCTAGAGCAAAAATGTCTGTGAGGGCGTTCTGCCCTTTGTGATTTGTAAAAGGCACCGAGGCACAGCCCGGAGGAGACAGCACACTGGCCCTCCCCGCCGCCTCCGCCACCTCCCCAGGGATGTTGGTATCTTTGGAACTAGCTGATTTTGAACTTTATCTTCCCTTTGAGTGACTGCGCGGTCTCTGTTATTTTTCCAAAGAGAACAGAGCCCTTCCACAAATGGTTTAGGTTCCTGGAAAAGAAAAATAGCCATTTTCGCCAACATTTATATTAAAAATTACATTTCAAACCTAATGGAAAGTCTGTTTATTTTTTATTCAAATTACATCAACTCCTTTCCAGAAACAAATTAAACTCCAGTTCTCTACTAAGCTTAAAAAAAAAAAATTCCAAACAAACCAGGGAGATATTATGCATAAATATATAAATGTAGCCTCATTATATATCTGCTCCATCACACCTATATTTAATAAAGATATGGTTTGATACATATTTATACATTACATATAGTGATATACTAAAATGTAGATATTTATACATAATACTTATAAATATAATACCTATTTTATAGGTATAAAAGATATAAAAAATATTTCTATTTATATCTGTATGATAGATAGTATATATAAATATACATACATGTAATATACAATTATAAATAATATATGTTATAAGGTACAGATATATAGAAAATATGCTTTCTGGTTATCTGGATGTAACTGGGTAATATGTACATGTAACTGTATGTTTATCATATATAAATATACATATAATATATTACATATATTTATAGTTTATGCATCTTTCATATATCATTTCATTTATATAGATATGTCAGCCTGCCCAACATGGTGAAACCCCATCTCGACGAAAAATACAAAAATTAGCCAGACATGGTGGCATGTGCATCTAGTCCCAGCTACTCAGGAAGCTGAGGCATGAGAATCACTTGAACCTGGGAGACAGAGGTTGCAGTGAGCCGAAATCACACCACTGCACTCCAGCCTGGGTGACAGAGCAAGACCCTGTTTCCAAAAAAAAGATATGTTAATGTGTGTGTATTGATACTAAACATATCACATATCCAAAATTTTTCCAAACAATGAAATTTAGCATATAAACTCAGAAAATTACTTTCTGGGCGGAGACCAAGCTAATTCAATCTTAATTTGATCTATTACTTTAGATGATGATTGAGTGTACTAACCAATACAAAAGAAGTTAACAAGTACCTAAGAAAGATCAGTTTTGCTGGATTTCAGAGTGTTATTCACCATATCTGCTAAGAGTATGTTATTTAAATCCATCAAAATCCCATTTGTGGGGTTCTAGGTAAATGTAAGGCATGGCTCCAGCAAAGCTCCATTTGAGGCTAGGGTACTAAAAGCCCCCCAGGAAGACCCACCATCAAACAACAGTAGGGAATGCAGAAATACCTCCCACAGCCAGGCTGTGTCCATTCCATTGGTGTTTGACTGCTGTCTGGATTCATTCAATCATGTCAATTCACTTGACAAATTATGTTTTCAGTAGGCTTCAAGAATTATCTTGAACTTGAAATTAGTAGGTTAGAAATTTAAAAGCTTTCCCAGTGCTTTCTTGACATTTCCACCTGGTCGTATTTTCCCCTGTGGTAGAGCTGATGCTGGCCTACCTGGGTACACCCAGGTACTCACCGATGTTTCCTGATGCCAGTATTGAACCTCCAGACCAGCCAATAAGACGTCTCTCAGGAGCTTATATAACCATCAGTCACTTTGTTTAAAAGTGCAACATCTCCCAGCCTGAACAATCTGGAGTTTTCCTCTTTCCCTTCTTTACTATCTAACATGCTGTATCTTTCACATATTTATCTTGTGGATTTTTCAATGCTACTATTACACTATAATTTTGAGCTGGTTGTTCACTAGCAAATTGCAAATACTTATAACAGTGCCTAGAAAACACTGTATGATCAATAAATATTTGTCAGTGACATGAGTCAACTAGAATGCAGGCAGACTGATCAAGACAAAAAGGAGAGTAAGAGGAAAAGGGGGAAAAATCGATCTTGACAACTTTCAAGTGGTTCAGCACGCAAGTCAATTTGTTTTCAGGGTGAAACTGAATCTCAATGTTTCTTTCAAACATGTGAATTATTCCTTAGTCATCTCAATAAGAACTTTCCAGAAGACTTGGGCTTAGATGTAACTGGTTCGATGGACCCAACTGCCCTCAGCTCTTGCCAGAATGAGAAACAATTTGGTTTTGTTCAATTCATTTATTTCCTACACTTGAATTGCGATCAAGAGATGTAAATGTTGAAACTGATTTGATTTTAAATGTACCCATACATCTCGGCCTCTTGCCACCCTTTTATGACTGGCTCCTAAACAGCCTTTGCAATCCACACTCACAATTGTGTATGTTTTTGTTCAACTTACTTTACAGATTGGTAGAATGTCGTGTTCTACTTATTTTCCAAGTTGTATATGGTTTTGTTCCACTTATTTCACCCCATTACCTAGGGCAGGTCCTTCCGTAAAGCCCAGACAGTAAATATTGTAGGCTGTGCAGGCCACACAGTCTCTGTGGCAGCTACCAACCCTGCTGCTGTAGCCCAAATACAAGCCATATGTAAACATGTGGCTATGGCTGGGTTCGAATAAATCTTCATTTTGGGACACTGAAATGTGACTTTTATATAATTTTCACATTTCAGGAAATATTATCTTCTGATTTTTTCCAACCATTTTAAAATGTCAAAGCCGTTCTTAGCCTGTGGGCCATACAGAAACAGGCAGTAAGTAGGGCTGTCGCTTGTGAACCAAAGTTTGCCTGAAGTATTAAAAAGATCACTTGAAGTGATTTTTAACCTTCAGATCTGGTGCTTTTTGGATCCTTCTTTCAATCTCTTTCCCATAAATGCAAGTTGCCACAGGAAAGGTCTCTTCAAACCCAAAAGCTAAAGCTGCGGAATGAGCCAGATTCTTACCAGAGGACTTAAGTTTCATGTGTTCATTGCTTTCAGCTCTTTAGTGCTGTGAAGCCAACACCTATTTATCATCCCAACTTTAAAATATTAGCAGGTGACCAGAGAGATGTTAAAATCATTCCTCATCTCCCCTAGAAATGTTTGATGTTTCTTCCCCTGGGCTCCCAGAGCTTTTGTTCACCTTTGTCCCAAGGGATCCTGATAGATGTGTAGACCCTTGAGGGTAGAGTCGATCGAAGCCCTTAAGTGTAGCCCAACTATAGCATCCTATATATACCAGGGATGCTCAGAGCATGCTTGTTGAATGCTGTTTCCTCGCCTTTATCACAACTGGAAGAGTATCCCTGAATATGGAGCTGAGTGAAGAGCGAAGGCAGCTTTCTGAGGCATATTTCATTGGGATCACATACAAAATGATTTGTCTATTTGGGAGGGTCTCTGAGATTTATGTCTATTGGATTGGAGAAAGAAAACCTTTTCTACATCCTCAC